AGAACCCTGCCAGCTCATGAGGAGTTTGCTGAAATGGTAGCAGAGGCTAAGTCCACAGTCATCATTAATTAAGTCATATGCTTCAGCCTTGGCTTCGCTTTTTCCCTTGGGTCTAGGAAACCAGAGGAGAGGGCAAGCAGGCCTCTATCATTCGATTTCTTTGGCATGTTAATGCATTCCTAAATTAATCATCATCAAGTGACAATCTCTCCTTCATCTTAACAGCCTAAGCAGTGGCCTGAGCAAACCTGCTGGCGTATGCAAGGCAGCTGGAGCCTCAGAAGAGCCTCTGATGAAAACCAAAGCACTTCCCATACGGAAAAACTCCCCCATCTCTTACCGTCCCTAATCCAAACCAGCTGCACGCCTGCTCCGCTCCCAGAACCACGGACGGGGGGGCTGTGTGGGTGAGAACCCCAAGGAAGAGATGCATCACCCCGCGAGCCAGCCCAGGGCCTGATACCACTGATCTGGCACAGGCTGCCTGGGAAAGACAAATCCAGCTCGGGGGAATGCAGGGACCTGCACAGTTCAAAGGCCTTTCATGGGCTGCAATCATTAACAGCCACCTCGGCTGCTGCAGGAGGAAGGATATCTGATCTAACTAAAAATCCTTCATCAGGAGAGGCGCCTCTGGAATGAGAAGGCAAATATCCCGTTGGAGGGGGTGAGGAAGGTGCCAGGACAGCCACAGCACTGCACAAACAGGCGTTTGTCTCGCTCGGAGCCTGCACTAGGAAACCTTTCCTTCAGGGAGAAGGTCCTCATAAAAAAGTCTCTATGTATTTATACTGTTCTTCGAAGTACACGTCAATGTCTGTGTTTGTGTTTCTCCCTCTCGTTAACTCCTTAGGAAAATATTCCCAGAGGGCTATTGTTCCTTTATTTGGAGATAATCTAAACAGGCACCTTCTGGAGCCTAAATATAGAAAGTCTCTACCCTTCTCCACTCCTATTTGAGGATCTACAGAGAGTTCTCTACACTGGGTACCTGAGTCTCATTTTTGTTTGCTGTTCTTTTCACCAGGGAGGGAAGAGGAGGCCAAAAGATTAAACCCAAATTTCCTGAGAGGGAAAGCTGGAGCCTATTTAAATGATAGTTGCAATCTTATGGCACAAAAATAGCTTCAATGTGTTCCCCTGTGCAGATTTAGGACACTAAGCGATCACCTAGAAATGAAAACTAAACACTTAACTCCCATCAAACATAATTGCCCAATATTTCAGCCTGAGATAATAGCTACATCCAGCTATCGGCATCTGTGCGTGCCTGCAGTCAAAATCAGCCCAAACACACCTCTCAGCCACCAAAACAGCAGCAGGAAACCTTCTTTTCCCACTTAAATAGTCTCTCGGATCAAAGTCATTAGCAAAATGAACGTGGACTTCAGAGCACATGGAAATGGCATCAATGTAAACACTTCCCTGCTGGCTTTAGCCCCGTGCCAAGCCCTGCCTGCCCCATCCCCTGTACCCAGGGGAGCACTGCTGAGGTCACCCACACCTCTTGCAGGAAAAGAAGGGCAGCTCCTTGCTCTGCTCAAGGTGTCGGTGACATCAGCCCCGGAGCAAGGAAAAGCCTTCGTCAACACTCAAATCTCTACAGGGGGAAAAAAAGTTTCCAGGTCACCTCTAGCACCGAAAAGCGTAACAAAGGGATCATTCTGGTCTCGAGCAGGGATTTTTGGGTGGCTGCCAGGGAGAGAAGGAAACGAGCCCAGAACGTGCTCTGAGGAGGGGCAAGATGTGCAAAGCTCAACTGGAAATCCTGGGATTTCAGAGGGATCTTCTGGCACCAGGCAACCAGGGCTGAGTTCAGGAAGCAGCTCTGGTCCCCAGCGAACAAAGCAGGTGATAATTGACACCTGGGCTGGACTTTCCTACCTGGCAACAGCTTAAGTCCCAAGATCACAGCTCTGAGCAGGAAAACAAGGGGTAAATACCCTCTGATGGGAAGCACTGCTTTATTTTCCACATGGGAGAGAGACCCAGAGGAGAGGATTTAACTAGTTCATGCAATAAGTAGCACAACTGGGATTAGGGCAATGTCACCTGACCTGACGCTGATCCTAATCACAAGGACATCTCTGCTCTTCCTCTGCTCCCTGCCAGCCTCGAGATCCTGTTCCTCCCACGCAGCCCTGAAGACCTGCAAAGCACCTCAACAACATCAGTCAGGCCTCAAATACTGCAGGGAGGGCAGAGGTAGGTAGGACTGACCCCTCTGAGGGGTGATGCAAGGCCAGGCTTACAGGTCCAGGAAAAAATGTGGATCCCTCACCCCTCCCTGATGATAACGCAAGCGCTCGGGCAGGGAATGGATGAGTCTGCTGGGGCCTTGTTGCCTAATTTTGTTTTTTTTTGAGCACAAGTGTAAAAAAAATAAAATTAAATGAGGATAATGATAGAAAAATACCAGCAGGGTGTCACAACATCTTCATTAGCAACCCAAGAGAGGATGCAAACAGCAGGGAAATTAAATCTGCAGACGGTGCTAAACAGGGAGTGGGTGACAGCAGATTATGGGAGAGTCACAGGAGGGACACACTATAGAATCATGGAATCACTGCCTGGATTGGGTTGGAAGGGAACTTAATGCTCAACCAGTCCCAACCCCCTGCCATGGGCAGGGACACTTTCCACTAGCCCAGGTTGCTCCAAGCCCCATCCAACCTGGCCTTGAACACTTCCAGGGATGGGGCAGCCACAGCTTCTCTGGAAAACCTGTGTTGGTGCCTCACCACCCTCACAACCAAGAATTTCTACCCACTATCCCATCTATCCCTGCCCTCTGGCAATGAGAAACCATTCCTTGTCCTGTCCCTCCAGGCCCTTGTACAAAGTCCCTCTCCAGCTCTCTTGGAGCCCCTTTAGGTACTGGAAGGGGCTCTCAGGTTTCCTCAGAGCTTTGTCTTCTCTGGGCTGAACCACCCCAAGAGCAAGAAGAACAGATCTAAAACCAGGAAGAATCTCCCTTTCCTATGGGAACAGAGTCACAAGAATCTAACCAAGTTTCCACGACTGCCAAACAAGGAAGGACCACCATCCAAACACCACAAGCAAGCCAGGGAACTATTTCATCCTTCACTCTGCAAGCATGGCTCACCGTGAACTTGTGAAATGATTTCTTCTGGAACATGCAGGAGCTTCAAATAGGAGCTGGTGAGGAGGAGAGGTGTGAGCCAAAGCACAGTGCCTGGAAGAGTTCTGCGACAGCTCAATCCCCACGAGGTCTCTGCTGCTGCATCACCTTACCTTGACGCTAACACAGCTCTAGAAAATATTCCATGTTTTTTGCATGCCATAAGTGGTGAAAAAGCATCATCTGCCTTCCCTCTCCCTCTGAGCTACGAGGAATCCTTGCACAGAGGGAAATGGCTGGATACAGTGCTGACACGTGGTGTTGGTGCTGGCTGCTGACGAACCTGAGCTGAATCACCTGTGTGAGCAACAGGGATTTCCTACTCCCAGCAAGATCCAGCTCAGATTTCGGAGCTGACACTGCACACTTGTTCATCTTGCTGACTTTTGCAATTAAATTAGTCTCAGCTTCCTTCAGATGCACTTGCTGCTCATGAGAGCCCACAAAAATCAGGCATTTCCTCAAAGCAGCTGTGGAAAGAGGCACAGACCTCTGTTTTCAAGCTGACAAGTGAAGGAAATGAACACTGCTTAAAGCAATCCTAGGAGAAAAAAAGTGGACAAAACCACTATAAAAAGGCAACAGTTTAGGAATTATAAGTAGTTTGCAATATGCAAGCAGCAAAAAGCCAGAGAAATACAACCTGGGAAATGCCACAGCATTGAGGAGAGGGAGATCTCTCACTAACAGCTTGGATAACTCCTGGAATACACTGCTCTTCTTTCAGTGCCTCTGCAGCCAAGCAGTGCCAGCAAACTGGGAGGGATTTCCAGAGAATATGACTAATTGTGAGGCTCCTCCACGGGAAGATGAAAAGCTAGTTACCTACAGAACAATCCCCAGACTGGAGAAGCTGTCCCAGCCATTCTACCAATGCCTGAAGGACACATCCACAAAGAAAGAGGAGGAAATGTTAGAGAGGGAAAAGTACTGTGAGAAACAAGGACATTTTTTCACCACTGTCACAGACAGCAGAAGATGGACAGGAATCTCCATTTAACACCAAACTGCAAATTAGTGGATGCTACAGAAGAAAATTCCTACGATGGTCCCAGTGTCCCTTTCTCTCTCTCTCCCAGGGATTGCTCCCACATACTCCTGCAGATCTCATGGTATTCCAGTCCCAAGGCTCCCTCTGCTGCTTGTACTCCAACCTCTCCCTCTCTCCCTTCCTCCCATGACTCAAGATGCAAACTCATCAGAAATACCCTCCTTGTCTTTCCAGGCATCCCTCCCTGATAAAAACTCACAGGGTTTAGGAAAACCAGGAGCACTTCCTGAGAAACAGCCCCAGCTGCTGCTGCGTCTCTGGCTCTTCACAGCAACATACCCATCAGCCTGGTGGATTCCATCCCAAGGAATCCATCCATTCTGTCCCACAAGATGGTCCTGGTTCACTATCACACCCTGCATGGTCTGGCGATTCCCACCAGACCAAACCTGACATGTGAAAGGGGTAAAGAGGAATAATCACTTCTACTGGCCAAGACTCCTCTTGGATTCAAGTCTGCTGCAGCAGAGCTCCAGGAAGAAGCACCAGGCAGTTCCAGTAACTATGGACCAGGATGCCTCTGCATGGGCCAAGCCACCCTCTCTCACAGCAGGGTAGGTGATCCCTCTGGCACTATGGGGTCAGGACAAGGTCCCATGGCACAGCATCACCATCGCTGCAGTTTTCCATGGTTCCACGCTTCCCTGAGTTCCCAGACTCCTTCATGTCCTCTGCCACATAAATCTCTGCAATAACTTGTGCCTTCCCCCAACACAGTCTAAAATCTCCACCCAGTGTCTTCTCCAGAGGTGAGTTCCACCACTGGAAAAGTCTTCCAGCTTGGAAAAGTTTATTTGCTGTACTCACCTGCTCCTGAAATTGCTCTTGTGATAAACAGTCAGTCACCTCCACACAGCCCAGGAGGCATCCTGAGGGATAATCGCTTGGAAATTCCACATCTGCAGCAAAAGAGGCATGTCTTCAGGGAGCCCATGTCCCTCCACACACAGCTGGGCTCTTCCAACCCCCAGGGGCCCCTCCCTCTCCTCCACGCTTCTCTACTTCTCGAGCCACAGGAACACATACAGGAATTGTAACTCCCTGTTGTGCTTTTTCCAGGTCAGGATCTTCCCCATGAGATGACTAAGGTTGGGAAATTTAATTTTATATTCAGCTTTCCCTGCTTCTAACAGGAACGCAGAAAGGATGAAGAGAATTTCCAGAGCAGAGGGTTGAAAGCGAAGCAGCAATAACTGCTCAGCAGAGAGGGATTTCTAACACTGCTCATTACGTGGCTCAATGTACCAAATCATTCCAAGATCCAAGGACAGGAGTTCACCTTTCCGGTGCAGCATTCTGTAGGTGGCCTCCAGTTCAGAGATTTCCTGAGGGGAAGGTCTTTTAGCAGTGGCTGCAATCCATAACCTCCCTCTGTGAGACGTGTACCAGGTCCTGCCCTCCACCCTAGAGAACAGAGGAGAATTCAGGACTTAAATTCCAGCAGAAATCACCCACATGGACAGATGGACAGGAGTTCACCTTTCCGGTGCAGCATTCTGTAGGTGGCCTCCAGTTCAGAGATTTCCTGAGGGGAAGGTCTTTTAGCAGTGGCTGCAATCCATAACCTCCCTCTGTGAGACGTGTACCAGGTCCTGCCCTCCACCCTAGAGAACAGAGGAGAATTCAGGACTTAAATTCCAGCAGAAATCACCCACATGGACAGATTTTTCAAGATACTCAATTTCCTGCTGCTAAGCTTTGCCCTGTGTCAGAACCACAAAGAAAAGCTGAAATGGGCAAAAAATAATGTCACAAATCCAGCAGAGCATGTCCTCATGGCTTTAGAGGACATCAACCCCCTGCAAGGGCAGCAGCACACGTGTACAGGACAATCTGCTCATGCACTTCCCTTACAAGCTCCCAAAGTCATGTGGAGCAATCAAAGGAGCAATAACAGCACAAGCATCTGCACAGAGAGGTCGTTGAGGGGTCCTGGAACTCTGCAGCTGTACCAGAGTGGTTGGTAGTAGCCCCAGAACACCTGGATGCAGAATCCAGGCACACTAGGACTTATAGCATCTTCAGCTTGGGAAGTGAAAAAGCTCTGCTCTCTGAAGTGGAACATCTGGTGAAGGAAAGGGAAAAAAGGCTCAGGAGATTCTTTGTTGTGTGTTAATGGCAGGAGCTTCTCTTTGTACCCTGATTCCCAGCCCAGAGGGTGAAGGGAGTGGCAAGGGGGATGTGTGCCTGGTTGGGTTTTTTTAACCATGTTGTGTCCTTTCTAATGGCCAAAAAGACCAGAAGAACACATTTCACCCTTTCAGCTTGTTTACATTTCAAATTCCACATGGGTGTGCCCCAACTATAGAGCAGAACTCTCAGCCTTTCTCTAAATTTACCTAGTGTGAAGAAACTTCTCCATTCCAGGTCAGATACTCTCCCAAAAAACCAGATTCTCCAGCCCCTCAAACCAGCAGTACCCTGGATGTGGAGGCACAGCTTCCAGACCCAGAGCTATCGCAGCTCTCAGTCACTACAAAGTCAGTGAGCCCACAGAAGCTCTCTGAGGAAGACAACTTTCCATCTTGTCTACAGAGCAGGAGCTGATTGGGAAACCTTTACCTTTTGATTCCTCTTACAAGCAAAGAAGCCCAAGGCTGGTGCATGCTGAGGCACCAACCATCATCTGAGATCTCCTGCAGCTCTCGATCCTGAATCCGCAACCTATTCCGCTCCAAGCCAGACTCACTCCCAGTGTCCATGGAATGGATGGCTTTCCTTTGAGGAAGCAAACCAGTTTGGTCCACCCACTAGAGAGTGTTCAAAAGAAACAGGGAAAAGATTAGTACCTCTCCGGGAACTACAGGTATCAAGTGTAAATCCTATTTGGAGTCTTCCTTCACTTAAGGACAGAAGTATTACCCTTCTGCCCTTTGGAAACTGGGAATCTGGCAGGAAAGGCTTCACAAATCGAGCTAAAAGGCAGGCACAGCCTGGCTCTCAGAAATGCTTCTGCATTCCTGAAAGGGAGATAAGAGGCTCAAACTCTGATAAACCAACCCCACCAGGAGCAGGGAACAGAGCAAGGCACTGGCAAACCATCTGTCCCAAACTCAGATGGTCAGTGAGGGACACAGGGGAAGAAAGAGGGGGTAAGATACAAGGGGAAAGAATGGGAATGACTTCCCACTGCCAGAGGGCAGGGTTAGATGGGATACTGGGAAGAAATTCTTCCCTGTGAAGGTGGTGAGGCATTGGCACAGGCTTCCCAGAGAAGCTGTGGCTGCCCAATCCCAATCCACAGCCAGGTTGGATGGGGCTTGGAACAACTTGGGCTAGTGGAAGGTGTCCCTGTCCATGGCAGGGGTGGGATAAGATGAGCTTTAAGGTCCCTTCTCACTCAAACCACTGTGTGATCCTATGATGTACTACACGCATGCTAGAATTGACAATTCCCAGGCTCAACTCTCCCAAAAATTCACCATTACCCTGGAAGAAACCATAGAACCCCCACTGACCAAAGGAGCAGGCTGAAGCAGACGTGGATTCACCAAAACACCGGAGTTCAGCGTCGCCTTTGCCTCCAGGCTCCCAGCTGGATTGCTCAGCACCCCAGAGTTAATGGCTTCAATGGTTTCATCCAGTCTGCAAGCACGAACAAGAGGCATGAACATTCCCTGCTTCCCCTAGCAACATCTCCCTTCTCCCCACACAAACACCCTGACCCAAAGCAGTTTTTCCCCATCTCCCCCAGATAAATGATTTCCTTGCTCCGTCTGATTTCTGATTCGAACACTCTAGTGCAGAAACTCCCTGACAGAGTTGGAGAGATGTGAGTGATTTCGGTCCTGCCATGGCTGCAGGGAGAGGACTAGAGGGAATGGCCTTGAGCTGAGACAGGGCAGAGTCAGAGTAGATGTTAGGAAAAATTTTTCCCCTTAGGGTGTTCAGGCACTGGGATATTGCCCAGGGAGGTGGTGGAGTCACCATCCCTGAAGTGTTTAAGAGGCATCTGGATCTGGACCTGCAGGATCTGCTTTAGGGTTTAGGGGTTCCAGCAGTTACAGGTTGGACTCGATAACCTTAGAGATCTCCTCCAACCTGGATGATTCCATGACTTCCCCCTCCATGCTCTCGGGGATGCTGCCACTGCTCACTCACTTGCTGTGGTACTCGGCCATGCTGCTGTCTTCCTCCAGGATCTGCCTGCCAGCAAAGTCGATGGTGATTTTCTTAGCCAGCCTAGAGGCATGGCGCAGCTCCCGCAGCTCCTGCTCTCTCTTCTGCAGGGCTTCCCTCTCCTGCTTGGAGAGCCACTGGTTGGAGTCCGTGGCGAAATAATCCGATTCATCATCAATGACTTGCGTGCGACGAACGCTGTGAGGAACAACCACCAGGGGAGAAGGTGAGCACAGCTGGACAGTGACTGCACTGCCTGCTCCAGACCTGCCCTCTGACCCACTACTTTCTGGTCTCCCCAGGGAGCTGCAGTGTCAGGGAAATGCAGCAAGGACACCCAAACAGGATCCACTCCAGGGGTTCCCTCTGTTCCACTAAATGCCATCATTAGGGCACGTGGCTGCAGCCTGGGTGCTAGAGGGAATTACCAGTACTTCTGCTAACGGCAGCAGCTTACCTGACAGGCCATTTATGCTGCTTCATTCCAGTTTCCCACCTGGTATCTTACCTTGTCCTGTCAAATTCCAACAACTTGTCTTTGTGCTTCACAGCCATCTCCAGGCCTGCCTTCAGTCTCGCTTCCTGGCGAGGCAGCAAGTCTTTGCTTATGGCATCCAAATTCCCTGAACTTTCAGCACCTGAGATAGGAAACAAACCACAGCTCAGGAGTGGGTGGGTTAACACCCTGTGTGAGTGGGCCTGGCTGCAGAAATGCTCCCTAAACAAAACGCCCTTCCTGGCAAAGCACCCAAACCCAACCAACCAAACAACAGGGGAACATCAAAAAAACCCACAGAAGGTTTCCATCCAAGCCACGATGGAACAGACCAGTGTATTTCACCAGGCAGGCTCATGCCTTCATTTCGGGGAAACAAAAAGCCTCTGTTTCCCTGTGGCCGCTGATCCACATTTTTTCACTCCCAAGACAAACAGCAAACCACATTCCAGCCCTCACCTACACGGATAACACACAAAGCAAGAGCTGGCACAGTAGGAGAGAAGGGAGAGAAAACAGGTAAGAGAAGGGATCCTGCATTACATCAGGATCCCTGCAGGAAGGATATCATAGCCTGGCTCTGGGATCAGCTCAGGCTCTCAAGGACTTCCAGGCCCTGCTGCCATCTCTGAGGAGAACCCAACACCAAGACCCAGAGTAAATATTTCCCCAGGTCTTCAGCAAAGTGTATTTTTCAACCAAGAACACCACGACCTTGGCTGTATTTCAGCTAAGCTCAGACAAACATCCCCACAATGCACAAGGAGACTGGCTATTATTTCCTCTTGCTTTCCTTGGCTCTGTTCCTATTTTTAGCTCCCAAGATAAGTGTTAGACAAGAAGAGTCATTAGGAAATATTAACCACCACCTCTCTAGACCCAGCAAATCAGATAGCAGCACTTGATCGGGCACAGCACATACTCCACAGGAGACTTATCCTAATTTTCAAGCACTGCTACAACGATCCAGTTTATGTGATTGATTCTGGAATGCCAAAGGAGCAGCCTTGGGGCCTCAGGGTCAGGACATCATACACTGCCATCTGACACTTGCAGTTGTCACCTCTGCTGAAGCCCAGGAATGCTGCCCAGGGCTTGCAGGGAGGATGCAAGGAGCCAGCTTCCAATCCATCCCTTTAATGCCTGCCACAGACACCAGGTACCAACGAGGGCAAGTGGCTCAGTGAAGACTGAAGCAAATAAGGTGCATGAACTGATTGGATTCATTCTGTTCCAGGTATGGAATTGCTACTGACCTGCCATGAGCTTCTTCAGCAGCTTCTGGCTCTTGTTGGAGTCCCGCTGAAGGATGTCCTGCTCTTCTTTAGTGCACACCTAAGGCAAAAAAGGAAATGATCATCACATGCTGGACAACAGCTCAGGGTATGCTGTTTACAAAATAAGGTGCATGAACTGATTGGATTCATTCTGTTCCAGGTATGGAATTGCTACTGACCTGCCATGAGCTTCTTCAGCAGCTTCTGGCTCTTGTTGGAGTCCCGCTGAAGGATGTCCTGCTCTTCTTTAGTGCACACCTAAGGCAAAAAAGGAAATGATCATCACATGCTGGACAACAGCTCAGGGTATGCTGTTTACACTGGCCCAGACACACCTCTTTTTTCCCTTTGGTGGTACTGACACAAGGAAAATCCTGGAAGCTGGTTCTTTACCAAAAGAGAAGTATAGGGCTTGTTTTCCCTCAGTTCCATGTGTGGGCACACTGCTGGGTGAGCTCAAAGGATGACAGATACACTTAGAATCTCTCAGATCTTAAGAACAACCCTGAACACAGGTTCCCACTCTTGGTTGGCCACTGGGAGTTAAACAGAGCTTTCAAAGTACCAACTAATCTGATGTGAAACATTTTCTCCATCCAACCAATATCTTCCTCTCACATGAAGAGGAATTTCCTCTCATCTGCTATGAATAACTTGTCCCCATTCTCCAAAAGGTGGCCTTTAAACCAAATACGGGCGGAACAGGTATCCCAAAGGGTCTATATTGCACGAGTGCCGAAGAAGAGTCAGGACACTGGCCCTGGCCATGGCTTCTGCCCCTTACAAGGTGACCCAGGCTGTGCCCAGGATGGGGCTGAAGCCTTGCACAGACTTTGGACACTGGTGTGACCTACAGGAGACTGTCAGAAATCAGGCAAGCTCCAAAGTGATGTAAATGATGAGGGAAACCTCCCAACAGGTTCTTTCCTGCCCAACTTTAGACCCTTGCCAGAGGAGCTCTGATCAGAGAGGCTAACTCAGCTCTGAGAAAACCTGACTATGTTCCAGCAGGGCAAACCAAGCCCCAGGTCACTCACCAGGGCCCCACAGAAGAGGCAGGGCCCAGAGCCCTCCTGCTCGCAGACGATGCGGCCGCACTCCAGGCAGTTGTTGATGAGCTTGTGCTTCTGGCCCAGGCACTCGCAGGAGTGACGCCCTGGGATGAGCACAGCCAACTTGTCCTGCCCCTCCTTGGTGTACAGGCTGACATATTTGGGCTTCTTTTTAGAGGAAATGCTACTGCTGCCGACTCCACTGCTGCTCTCCTGGGCCTGGGAAGTAAAAACATCAACAAACAAACTGTCCTCACCATGCAAAACTGGCAGCAGAGAGCGAGCGCCGACCCTGGGGCAGCCCAGGAGACTCAGACAAGTGTTATTCTGCCTCACTGGAATGAAACTTGGACCAAACCCCAGACTGAACGGAAAGACAAGCTCAGGCCTGCCAGGAAAGCTCCAAGGAATCCAAACAAAGCAAGGACATAGGGATGTTGCTGATGCACTTGATGTTTGCTGCCTGTGCAAGCTAGAACTGCTCAGGCCAAGGTGGTAGGTACACTGTCAGTGCTCTACACCTGCAGGATGAGTTCACAGGGGTTTATCAGCTCCAAACAGCAGCTCCCAGATTTATTTCCAAGGATTATTTAGACTGTGGCAATGCCCTGTTTGTAACTGTGAAGCTCTGTGTGTGCCTGTCCCTAGACACAGAGCTGTTGGTGGCAGCAGGGCTGCTTCACTCACAGCCAGGTCACCTCCCAGCAGCTCTCCCACATCCCACCCAGCACAGCCACCTCAGCAGAGCTTTTCCATGCACAGCAGGTTCGAGGATTGAGCTGTAAAATAAATTCACCTCCCACTTCCATGACTTGGCCTCAGTGATTCTGTGATTCACCTCTCTGAGTTTCACTCTGGTTTAGTGACAATTGGATGCAGCATTTCCAATCCCCCCAGTAAAGCTCAGCTGGTTTTAGTGTCTCTTTAATTCCACACCCTCACACTCTAAAGAAATACCTTTTATTCCTAATTACAGCCTCTACTTCCTTCGCCTGCTCTCTCATCCAGGCTTTTTGAGGGGGAGCAAAATCCATCCTGGCATATTTGCTACCTGGTGATTATCTTATTCCCCATTATAGACACAAACACACACAACCTTTCTCCCCATCCTCACAGACTGGATATCATAGTATCATTAAGGTTTGAAAAGCTCTCTAAGACCGTTGAGTCCAACCCTTCCCCCAGCACTGCCACGTTCACCAGTAACCATGTCCTCAAGTGCCACATCCACAGAGCTTTTAAACCCCTCCAGAGATGGTAACTCCACCCCTGCCCTGGGCAGCTGTGCCAGGGCTGGGCAACCTTTTCCATAAATAAATTTTCCACAGTATCTAATCCAAACCTCCCCTGGTGCAGCTTGACACCATATCCTCTCATCCTGCCACTTATTCCCTGGGAGCAGAGCCTCATCCCACCTGGCTGCACCTACTGTCAGTAGAGAGAAAGAAGATTCTCCCTGATCATCTTCTTCTTCAGGCTGAGCCTTCCCAGCACCCTCAGCCACTCCTTGTTCTCCAGACCCTTCCTCAGTCCCGTTCCCTTCCCTGGACACCTCCAACTCCTCAATGTTTGTCTTGTCATGAAGGGCCCAGAACTTCCCCCAGGACTGAAGGTGCCTCAGCACAGGGAACAGGCACTGTCCTGGGGCTGTGGCCACACCAGTGCTGGTACAAGCCAGAGGTCATTGCCCACCTGGGCTCATGTCCAGCTGCTGCTGACAGCCCCACACATCCTGAACACTCATTTCCACTCTCCACTCACATCTTTATCAGTGTTTGACACCACCTTCCCCCAGGGACACCCCGAGCCTCCCTGGCAGCCCCAGCACGCTCACCTTGGCCAGGTCGAGGGGGGTTTTCACCTCTTCCACGTGTGCGCTGGGCTCGGCGTACGCCAGTGTCTCCTGCTTGTTCCGTCCTTTCCGCTTCCCCTTCTTCCCTTGGTCTCCAGCCCGCGGTACTTCCAGTGCCTCTGGAAGTGTGTGTGAGCACAGAGAGGGTGGGTAAACACCAGCAAGCAACAAGGGTCCCTGAACTCCACTGGGTGAATGAAAATGGGGTTTAAACTATCACAAGGATGGAATAGGACCATATCCATACAGGAATTCATGGCATGTGATTGTTTACAAACCAGGAGATGCCTATCTAAGGCTTTAGCTCCTTCCTCCCTGAGCCACTCACCGTCCTTTTTGCGGTAGGCTGGGAAGGGCTCGGAGGGCAGCTGGGCAGATTTCCTCCACCTGGACAGCAGCTCCTCCACGAACCAGCTCTTCTTGCCATCGGTGCCCTGGATGAGGTCGGCAATGTACTCCCGGATCTCCTCCTCGTTTGTTATTGACAAGATGTACCTGAGACAGGACAGGGCGGGTAAAAATGGGCAAGGGGACTGCTGCTCCGGGGAAACCAGTGGTCTAACCTCACAGGGATGCCACTTGTTCCTCCACTCTGATCAAGTTTGTAGGGACCACGGTAAGACCATGGCAAAGTGGAAGGAGACCTGTTTTAAGGTCCCTCCCAGTCCAAACCAGTCTGGGATTCTATGGCCCCACAGTCCTCCCCGTCACCTCCCGCCCCCTGTCCCCCGCGAGGGAAACCCACGCGAGGCCCAGGCGCGGGCACAGATCCCCGAGAG